GATGCATTTTCAAAATTTGTCTGTCTATATCCGACTAGCAGAACAGGGACAGAAAAGGTTATCGATTGCTTGAAAAGGCAATCATCTGTGTTCAGCAACCCTAAACGCGTTATTTCCGACAGAGGTGCAGCGTGTACGGATATTGCGAGAACAATGGTATTCATCATCTACTAACAGCGACAGGAGTTCCACGTGGTAATGGACAAGTCGAAAGAATCCATCGGATTATTATGCCAATGTTAGCAAAGCTTTGCTCAGACAACCCGAGTAGTTGGTATAAGTAGGTCGATCAGGTCCAACAAACGCTCAATAATACGCCTGCTAGAAGCACATAATTATCGCCGTTTAAGCTTCTGACCGGAATAGATATGCATGTTAATCATATATCAGAGCTGCAGGAACCCTTGGACAACGAAACGATAGTAGAGCTCGATAAAGATAGAGAATATTTGCGAAAAGAAGTATTTACAAGAGAACATTGCGAAAATGCAAAAAGAAAATAAAAGGAACTTCGACTCCAAGCGTAAAGCAGCAACACAATAAGAACTTAGCCAATTGGTAGCCATTAAGCGAACCCAATTTGGTAGTTCATTACGACTACGACCCAAAGTTTTCGCCCATACAGGATAACCAAAATAAGGAACCATGGCCGCTATGAGGTAGAAAAAGTAGGTAAAGGCAAAGGGCCAAAGAGAACCACTACCGTTGCTGAGTATATGAAGAGGTGGGCGCCATCGTTTGAGGCCAAACGATATGCCAGGCTGGCAGAATGTGGGAACGTATGAACTGACTGAAAGACTGTAATTAGACTGACCAATACAACTCTGTGTACAAGGAACAATAAAAATGACAGTTAACGCGCGGACGACAGCGGACGTCATTTCGTTTAGCAATAAGTCCTAAACCTAAAACTAAACTAGATTTAAATCGAACATATTATTACTTACTATTAATATTGTCTACTAACTGAATTCAATAAACTGTGGATAATACTTAAAAGTGCATTTCATTTAATTGAAATTAGTCAAGTGAGCACGGAGCGTAGCACATTAGTTCAATATATTAATGATATTCATTTTTGGACAGATTCACATATAGTTTTGCAGTGGATCAAAATGCATTCGTCATCTCTAAATTGTTTCGTGGCCAATCGATTTTCGGAGCTGCAGATGAATTCAGTAGGCATAATCTGGAGATATGTACCTACGAAGTAAATTCGCAGATATTGTATCACGCGGTTGCATGGCACGTGAACTCTTAAATACGATGTGGTTTAAAGGACCAACATTTTTCTCTAAAAATACAGAATCATGGCCTGAAGAAGCGACAAATATCTCGTTCAGTAAACTCGACTTGAAACAGCAGAAACCAATTACACTATTAAGGGTGATGGCATTCATTCTACGACCGTTCAACAAAATTGTCCCTAACAAAAATTCACAGAATTTCTTATTTGTATCACCAGATGAACTTCAGCAGACGTTTTTATACATTGTTTAATCCATTCAGAACTCACATAATGCACATGAAATAAAAACACTCAAGACATCGAAGACACTAAAACCTGAAATATCGAAGATGTCACCGTTTTTGGTCGAGAGCCCTTTGCAAGTTTCAACTAAATTAGTTTTACAAGTTGGAGGAAGACTCAATAAAGCACCCGTTGAATACAATGCGAAGTTTCCTACATTATTGCTAAAGCAACATCAATTTGCGCGCAAATTTGTGGAGAACCTGCACATAAAGAACAAGCATGCAGGCCCAAAGTTGTTAATCGGAATTATGGGGTTGCAAATTTGGGTAATCAATGCGCGTGAGTTAATACGAAAGGTAGTCAACTCTTGTGTGCATTGTTATCACTACAAACCAAAGTTAGTGCAACAAATAATGGGATCTTCTCCAGCCGATCGTCTACTTGCTCAGCGCCCCTTTTTGGTAGTAGGTGTTGACCTATGCCGCCCATTTTATACTTCGCACTGTATTCGTGGAAAGGCGCTTTACAAAACCTATCTAGCAGTATTTGTCTGCCTTTCATCGAAAGCAGTACATGCGGAATTATATATCACATTTATCTACCAACTTTGACTCTCTTTGAAGCATTTTATTGGCAGACGTAGCATACCGTATCGTATCTACTGTGACAACGCCACGAATTTTGTGTGTATATGAATTCAAGCATCAGTTCTTCAACCAGGAATCAGTATCTGACATTGAGCAGTTCGGCAGCATTCATGGGTTTGAATTTCGTTTTATCCCACCGCGTGCTCCTCACTTTGGGGGATTGTGGGAAGCCGCTATAAAATCAATGAAGACTCTGCTAGTAAAGAACATCTCACAGTCTAACTTAGCATTCGAAGAACTTCAGACATTAGTGATTGAGGTAGAAGCCATATTGAACTCGCGACCTCTTACGCCTTTGGCTGACAACCCAAATGATGGTGAGGCGCTTACTCCAGCACATTTGCTCATAGGGACTTCGTTGAAAACACTGCCGGAGCCACAACTCAACGTCATAAAGGAGTCGCGTCTAACTAGTTGGCAGCGTATCACTTACTTAAAGCAGCGATTATGGGACTTGTGGCGTCGGGTTTACCTTCATGCATTACAAGTGCGGTCGAAGTGGCTTGAGACGCAAGAAAACTTCGTTCCTAGTCAGCTTGTTATGATTCCTGATCACAATTTGCCACCCCAACAATGGGCACTTGGTCGCATCACAAACACGTCCCCAGGAGCAGATGGCCGTGTACGCCTGGTTGATATTCTCACCAAGCGAGGTACTCTACGGCGACCAGTGCACAAGATAGCTCTTTTGCCGATTGAATAAAAATGTTTGAAACGAATTTTTCAACGGGCGGAGCATGTTGAAGCAGATGAAGTTGTTTATATTTATACAAAGTAGTTACAGTTTTGAACCACTGTGCCTGCTCTACATGCATACGTGCATACATGAAACATAGCGGCCGATGTTTTCCCCCTATCTTATTTCCATATGTACGTACATGCAAATGCCTTTGCAACTGCAATTGGGTACTCATATAGTTACACACGGCTTCACGTAGTTATATATGTATGTATGTACATATTTACATACATTCATAAATATAGGGTTATTATCAACGCATTCCTTAGCATAACAACACAAATACCGTAAATTGTTATTATCAATTGTTATCTCAACATCATTCGATGTTAAGATAACTTGCTCTTTCCAATAAGTTTTTGCTTAATAAGTTTCTAGCGCAATGTAAAAAGTGTTTGTCGAAATAAATCAGTGAAAATTAGCAGTTGAGTTTTTCTTCTACGAAGCTCATTAATTTGAGTTCAATCACATCCTATTTAAGTACTGCTATAAGTTCTGTAACAAAGCAGTAGGCTTTGATATTTAAAAATGTATGGTCCTGTTGTTCCATATTTTGGGACAATGTTCTATGCCAATATAAATGCAAATTAGTTTGGTTTGAAATTTCGTCTAATAAATGTGGAGTGGGATGACAAAGAAAATCGGATCGGGATAATTGCATTGCATAAGTGCGGAAATAGCGCGAGTCAGATATTCACATCGTTAAAAAAACTCGGTATATCCAGAATGTTTGTTTGTCGCACCATCGATCGCTTCTTAGAAACTTCTCAATTAGAGTGGAGCCATAAAACTGTGCGCGAGCGAATTCGCCGAAATCTCTTAAGGAAGCAGAAAATCATGGCCAGAAAGCTGGGCATGTCTTTCAGATCCATGTGTCGACTTATCCGTGATGACCTCCACATGAGGGCTTTTCGCAGGTGCACTGGTCATCTTTTAACTGCGCGGTTAAAACAAATAAGATTAGAGAGATGCAAGAAGCTTTTGCAGTGGCGCGCAAGTAACGGCCACGAAAATATTCTTTTTACGGATGAAAGTATTTTTACGATGGAGGAAGTTTTTTTGAATAAACAAAATGATAAAGTTTATGCTAAAGCATCTCAAGAAGCGAAAAATACTGTAGCAAGGGTTCAGAGAGGTCATCATCTAGCATACGTTATAGTTTGGTGTGGAGTATCCCATAAAGGTGTCACTTCCTTGCTGTTTTGCGAAAAGGGTGTAAAAACTGGAGCAAAAGTGTATCAACAAGATGTCTTGGAAGGCGTGGTGGTAATAATTTAACACTCTCTGTTATGGAGAACACTGGGTTTTTCAACAAGACTCTGCACCAGCGCATAATCCTAAAACAACCCAAGAGTGGTTACGACTTAATATTCCCGCTTTTATTTCTGCCGAAGATTAGCTCTCGGACAGTCCAGATTTAAATCCTCTCGATTACAAACTATGGTCTGAGTTAGAGGGTGTGGCATGCAACGTTCGCCAACGAAATTTAGAAAGTCTCAAGCAAGCACTCATTGCAGCAGCTTCATCCATACCTTCGGAAACTATACGTGCCACTATAGCCAAATGGCCGGACAGTTTAAGGCCCTGTATTAAGGCGAAAGGCGATCATTTTGAAAATTATTTTGTTTTCTCATGAACATTAACATTCAATAAATAAAACCGAATTACAACACAATCTAAAAATCCCTTATTAAAATTGTTACGCTATATTAAATTTGTAACAGAACTTTTGACAGGACCAAGTATATACCAAAATTGTATACGTCAGGCCGCGTATAACTGGAGATGTTTTACTGTTTTTTTTTTTGCCTTGTAAATTCTTTCACATCAAAAAGCTACTTACAAAGCCTTTATTAATTGAATCATGTTTATAAGTATTCAATTTAGTAATGCTGTGAATTGTATTTCGCAGATAATGCGAAGCATTGTGAGTACGGGCCTGTTCGAGACACGTAATAAAAGCGGCATTACTGCTGTACTGATGAAAATTTGCAACACTGTTGCAACTGCCCAACTGACAATACGTTGCTATAAATGCACACCGAACTGGATACTCTAATAATTCGCCCAACACTGCGGTTATGATTGTAACTCGAAAAAGCCCTACATCGCATTGTAGGAAATGATCAAGTAAATAATGTTGATGCCATCGATGTGGATAGTATAACAGGTAATTTTATTTATATTTATTATAACCAGTTAATAGGGTTTTATAATTTTGTTTTATTGTATAGCTATGCCTGAGCCTCACTTCCAGTTGCTTCGCCCACTACATTTTCGGCACCATCGCTTCCATCCCTCAGCGAAGTCTCCAAACCTGTAACAAAAAAAAAAAATCAGAAGATTAGTGAGTTAAACGAGACCTTTAAATCAGCCATGGCAGAAAACATTAAATTGACTGCAGAGCTAATCGAAATTGAGAAGAAGAGGTAACTGCAGCGTCCTAGTTTCTTGGGGCGAAACTAATTTAAAATCGCTGTACACTCAGTGTCTTCATATGTATATATATATTTGAATTGACTAAAAAAATCAAACTCTTTGGCTTTCTTGAATGGAAGCAAATTTTATGTATGAATCGACAAGAAATCAGAGAGTGGCATCCGACCATCGTTTATTAAAAGTATAAGAATGTTTGAGATATGGCCGTTTTCTGAGATCTGCAAAAAATTGTCCTCACTTAAAAGAATTTTTTTATTTAATAATGAATGCAGAAGTTATTAGCACTTATGTAAGTAAAATACATACAAAAAGTTTCTATTCAAATTCTTGATTTTATTATATAGATAATAGGTCAAACTTTTATAAAAATGAAAATCATATATCTACATTTATTATATAAATTCAACATGCTTTACTAATGTGAAAAGAAGTTTGAGATTGGCAAACTATATCCATAAAATAACGGAAATTTGCCTATTTTTCAAAAACTGTTATAATTTTTTTAATTCTGTTTTCGTATTCGGATTCAGCGGAAAATTGTACTTTAGAATTAATATACAAATTTTTAGATCGGACAATTATTTATTTTTGTTAATTTATGTTATTGCTAGCTTTTGCCCGCAGCTTCGCACGAGTGATGTTTGGTTTGGTTCAAGGCGAATTTATATAAGGTGGTCTTGTTTAATCAGCGGTGTGTAGCGTTTGATTGTCAAATTTTATATTTTGCTAGTGAGTGAGTGAAAACGTGAGAGTGTTTGCATTTTCTGTCGCCCTTTTTCATTCGGAGAAGAATAGCTGAAATTTGACAATCACCAGCTCAAAGCAAAAACAAAATACAGGTAATTGTTGTATTTGTTGAATCGATACCACCTTATATGAATTCGCCTTGGTTTGGTTTTTTTGTGTTTTAAAAATGTGAGTGATAAATATTTTTCGCTTCACTTTAAAACTCGGAGCGATAAAACTTAATATGATGCCATCAACACAAATACACTATTTTAGAATTACGTCACCTGCAAATTCAGGAGCGAGCCGAAAATTTGATGAGTTTATGGTGAAGATAATGTAAATAACGCTATGGCTCGAAGTGCTCTTAAAAAATAGCGAGAGTATTTTGATGGATCTACGAGCTCTATTTTTTAAGACGTGGAAGTAGTAGTAGTAGTAGTATATTTATTTTTTTTTATAGCAATTCGAATACACACATTTACAACATTATACACACATATTATGGAATTTAAAAAATAAATTAAAAATTATGGCAGTAACTAATATTGTTGAGTGCCACACTAGAACTAACATATTAAGTTAACATAAACTACTTACGCAAATTCATTAATAATAAAATCCCTATATTTAATGCTGTTTTGCAAATATTTGTACAACGCTTCGTAATCACCGCCATTTAAAATGTTTATCACTCTTGCCAGGTCCAAAACTTTTTCACCGAAGCTATCCAAACGAGACGCGTTGTAGGCTGGGCAGACACCGATAAAGTGGTAAATACTTTCCGCATCGCCAAGGTTACAAACTGGATATATAACAGAGGTTACGTTTTTAAATGATCTCGCATTAAGGTTAAGCAAACCACCTCTCGCGCGGAAGATTAAGCTAATAGCATACGAAGAGTGCTCGTCGTTGAAATATTTAACCCCTACGGGTGTTAAATGTGGGTAAAGGTCATGTGTGCTAGAACTTTGGGCGCGCTCAACATAAAGTTTGAACTCTTTTTCGACAAGTTTACTAAGCAACAAGGGGGTAAACACTTTAAGGAACGTAGGAGAAAACTCCGTAAGGGGTTCCAAGTCTGCGCTGAGTGATAAGCGCTTCCAATTTCTGACCCAAGGTACCTCTTGTCGTATGGACTCGTCGGCAAGGACACGCGGCAGTCTACTTGTAGGTAAACTAAGGCAACGTGTTATAAATAACATATGAGCGCGCAGTGTGTGGAAGTACTGGGGGACTATACCCGTTTCCAAATGCAACATATAATTTGGCGTGTTCGCAGGCAAGAATATAAGCTTCTTTATAAAGAAACGCAAAAGTTTTTCCACCTGTTCATGACTTTCCCCACCCCACACCTGTGCATTATAGAACATAATTGATCTTGAAGCCGCATCAAAGATTTTAATTTTTTTCGAAATTTGAATTCGGGGGTTGTTTATGTAACTTAACCAAGTAGCGCATATTGCAGATTTCCCCTCGTTAAGTTTTGTGTCTAAGTGCTTAGTGTAGGAAAGTCTGTGGTTTAACATTATACCTGCCGGACACCTTGATTAACCGAAAAGGAGCTCGACAGCTTTCCATTGAACCACACCTGACTCGTAGTATTTCCATATATAAGACGTAAAATATCAATCATATGACTTGACAGACCGTATGATGCCAGCTTGTAGAAGTATGTATGTAAATAATAGAAAAAAATATTTTAATTTTATTTAGGCTACTGCGAGTTTAGTTTTTAAATTCACCCGCGATGCAAACATCCAATTTAAGTGTATTCAATCATAACCAATAGCACTTTTTTGGAACTTCTATGTGGAAAGCTTTTCGCTAAAAAAAACTCAAAACTTTTTGTTGTTGCTGCTAGAAAATGAAGGAATGTGAGACTTTACGGTTTTACAATTTTATATAGTTTTCTGTAAATTGTATTTCACTAAACTACTACCCGACTGCAACCATTTGGCTCATATTTGGAACATATGCCAGCACCTTGAAAATAAATATTCCGACTAAAAATTTACTCGGTAGGTGACGCTGGGGATATTCCTAAAATTCTTACACAGACTAAAACGTATAAATCCAATATATTTCTAAAACCAATTACGCTGGAGAACTGAAACTTAGCACGGATGAATTTGCATTGCAAATACTCTACTTATGGCGAAAACTGATAGACATTGGAAAAGGGGGCGTGGCAGCTCCCATACAAACTTTACTTCTCATATCGCTTATATTTGGAAACGTCGGCGCTAACATCATGAAATTCGGCACAGCTTCTCTTTCAAAAAGAGCAAAAAGTGACAGGAATTGGAAAATGGGGCGTGGCACCTTCCATACAAACTGAAATCCTAATATCGCTTCTCTCTGGAACCGCTTATGCTAACATCCTGAAATTTGGCACAGCTACCTACATATGTTATCAATATTGTACTTATGGCGAAACGTGGTACATATTTATTGGAATGGTTGCATCTATATACATTTATGTAAACGGGCAAGTATCATTCGATTGGGAACCATTTCCCCCTAGATTTCTAGATCGCAGTAAACTATTGTGACTTTGTTTTTAATTTTTAGTAAAAGGTAAAATTTTGAAGTTTTTTTTCAATTTTGCACAATGTTTGGAACTTTGATTTTTATGAGTTTCATTATAAACTGTCTTATCTGTATAACTATATACATAAAATGATAGCCGTTTTCGTTGTTCGGACTAAACTCAAAAACCACTGGATAGAGTTCCGTCAGGATTTCGGAGGTTATACCTTGCATAAATACTCCTATTATATGCAATTTATATTATTTATAAAAGTCGTATTTTTAACCGATTTCGTTCAAATTTTAAATGTGAGCTATGTGAAAAATTCTTTTGATAAAAGTGGACCCGGTGGTTAGCGCTGCATTAGAGGTATTTGGAAAATCCGTACTTTTCATACAATCTGGTTGAAATTCATAATACTTACATATTCATTTTATGATAAGCAATGATTTTGATAGAAAGTGTACCCTATAGATGGCGCTGCAGCTGAAATGTATAGAAACCCCGTGTGCTTGGTCTGCTTTGGCCCTATGTTTAAGTTATACGAACTTAGGTCTCAGATGACTAAATGAAGGATGGGGTTAAAAATGCATAGAAAGACCGCAAAATTGTCTGCCTTTTTCTGACGCCCCCATGCACCCTAAATGCGATCTTGAATCTACCTAGAAACCAGTTCAGAAATATTATTGTCTTTCTACCTCTACGCATACTGGCGGGGTAACAGTTTATTTTAAAATCAACTGGAAAGTGACCAAAATTGTGGAGTACTCAATTCAATCAAGGATGTGCTTGTTAGCGTGTCGATGTGAAAGAGGCAATACAGACCTTCCAAAAAATTTGCGTCTTATATAAAACTTATTTTATACTAGCTTTTACTCGCGGGTTTCACCCCACGTCAGAAGGAAGGGGTCATGTGAACTGTGGTTCCGAAGATATAGCTGATAAAAAATTCCAAGCCTATGTTAAGTGCTACGCCCCCTTTTACAAACTCATTTATATAAACGTACCTTATTATAAGCACCTATATACTATAGATATGTCTGCATACCAAATTTCAAGTTTATGTGACTTCAGAAGTTATGGCTGAATAAAAATTCCACGCCTATGAGATGAACCACGTTCCCTTTTACAGACTCATTTATATATACACCTTACTAAAAGCATCTACCATATATATGTCTGCATACTAAATGTCATGTTGATGTGACTTATGGTTCCGAAGTTATAACTAGTAAAATATTCCACGCCTTTTAGATTTTCCGCCCCTTTCACAGTCTCATTTATATATATACTTTACTATAAACACCTACCATAGATATGTCTGCATACCACATTTCAAGTTCATGTGACTTATGGTTCCGAAGTTATGACTGACCAAAAATTCCGCGCCTATGTTATCTGCCACGCCCCTTTTACAAACTCATTTATATATACCTTAAGATAAGCACCTACCATAGATATGTTTGCATACCAAATTTCAAGATCATGTGACTTACGGTTCCGAAGTTAGAGCTGATTAAATAATTCATGCCTATGGGAGGTGCCACGCCCACTTTTCCAATACCGCCCAGAATGGAATTAATTTTATTTATCTCGACAGCAAGTTCCAATTCTCTACC